AAAAGTTTAATGAGGGATTTGAAATGTATTAATAATGATAACAAACTTGAGGAATGAGGTTGTTCATACTTTCAATAAATATTTTGGGGGTGTGGGACGCAAACTGGGAGAAAAGATCCGGGATCCTACAACAACTGGAGCTCTGAATGAAACGTTAATCAGCAGAAATCCTTATCTAATGTTTCTCACTGCTATGAGGGAAAAGGCATTTATAGATATGGTCAATAAATGTAATAACAAGAGGTCAACTGACTATGATGGCATTGATATGACAGTAATTAAAAAGGTCATTGAGGAAATTATTCAGCCTCTGTCATTTCAGTTGGGTAAATTTCCAGAAAAGATGAACATTTTCCATTTCTTTTTCTATCTTAAACTAAACCTAAAAGTTGTCTTTCCTACAGGAGAAAATGACACAATCAAAAGTTTAAAAACAGTTTAAAGTTTTATTGATTCTATTTAGGGATCAGAGCATTACCTTTTTAAATCAATGAAGTGCAGCATTTCCACGCTGCCTAGCTTTTTCTAGATCCATCCCTGTTAGTGTGAATGATGCATTAATGTTCGGTGGTCGTCTGTGAGGAGTCTCCCTCTGACACATGGAGGTCTACTTTTTTAGATATGGTGAGGACAGTAGAGGACCAACAATGCCTAGCTTCTCTGAAAAGCAAATAAAGAAGAGTCAGAAAGGCTGCAGCAGCCAGACACGCAAACCCTGCTAGACAAAGTTTCAAATTTGAAATAAACCAATGAAAGCTGTAACATCGTTATGCATTTTATTTGAGAAACAACAGCAAATAACAGAAGTAGAAAAGTTGTACTCCATCTATTCCTATTAAAACCTCATTCACTGAAAAATAATAATCCCCCTGCGTTATAGATTCTGAAAGGCCTTGCATCAAAAAATACTGCACTAAATCAGTGCAATCAGTGCAATGCAATACCTCGGCTCCAGACGTCCCGCCCCCTCCACAGACGCGCCGCTGCTCCTCTCCCAAATTGTAGCTGACCGCAGACAGCGCCGCAGACAGGAGGCCGGCTTGTTTTGTTTTATGACCGAAATTGCGGAAAACAACTCGTGAAGTTTGACCCGCTAGAAGAGCGAGGTGCGCGAGAACGCTGGGACCCTTTTTCCACCTGAATCTCCGCTCTTTTTGGCCCTCATGTCCCTCCGTCGTCGGACTAAACTCGCCCCCACTTCCTCTCCGCCTCGGCCGTATCTAGACCCACAGCGTGTAGCCCAGACCACGCTTCAATATTGAGCATAAATCAAAAATGTCTGCATCAAGCTCACTGCAACACACTGCTGTAAGAGTATAACCAGGAAGCAAGGTAGGAGGGCAAAATAGGTTTAGCGCCGCCGCAGCACGGGAGGGAGAATTACGCCCAGGAGCAAATGGATAAAAATAGACCGGAGGAAAAAAAAAACATGAATCGATTCTCTTGCGGACGTATCGATGCATCGGATCGTCGGCTGTTGGATCGATGCATCGATACAAAACGATTATTATTTACACCCCTAGCTGTAACTATCACTGAGGTACCGTTTTAATTATATTTTGCCTAAATTCTGATATATAAAGTGGAAATAAAAGAGACTGAAACTGCAGGTGATGATTTTGTATCATTATTTGATTTTTTTTTTTTTTAACTAAACTGCAAAATCTTGAACTGGCCTCAATAGAATTTGTGAAGGCCTTTCAAGATGATCAAGACTGCGACCAGGACCGGGAGAGAAAACGGATCAGAAGGGTCTGCAGACCTCCATCCCAGATTTCAGCCCTCCTCCAGTGTAGTTCCCCGGTTCCAGCAGATTACACTGCAGTTTTATTGGCTAATGACCACATGATCTGTGATTAATGATTTATTCAAGGATTTAATGTGGCTTTGGTTTCCACTCACCGTCCCTCTCGCTGTCAGAGCTGGCTGAGATGATCCCACGTCTCCCATCTTGTGTTTGATAGGCTGCAGCCTTTGTGTGGAGAGTGACAGTCACAGCTTTAAGGCCTCATTTTGTTTGATAACTCCTGGTATCTGTTTATTCAATCTCTGCTTTAGTTTCCATTTCTACCTGCTGCCACCTAGAAATGTTTATCATATTCATGATCGTCATGATTCTGCCCTTTCTGGACTCTTTGGTTCTGTTGAAGTTTTTCTTTTTGAGGTCTGAGTTGCTCTTTGATTTATGTCATTCTGTATTTTCTGACTGGTTGGTTTTATTTCCATTTTGTGTCATTCTAGTTGTTTTCTGGTTGTATTTGGGCACTGATGTGTTTCACGTTTACTCTCTGTTGCCCCCTTGTGTCAGTCTCCTTCTCCCAGCTCCCTTCTAGATCCCTCTGTCCACATCGGCTCCCAATCGACTTATACTCCAATCTTTGTTCTGTTTTTCATTCTTCTCATTCTTTTGGTTTCTTCATCCCGACTGCCTCCTAGTTGTTTTTTTTTGTTCCTGAGTTTCTTGTCGATCGGTTCTGGATTATAAGTTCTGTATTCTTACGTCTTTTCATTAAATTTAATTAGAATTCATCTCTGCCTCTTCAGCTCTGCATCAATTATCCACTGATCCTAATCTAGTTTTTACCTCCATGTCGGGTTAAACATCTGCCAACCTGTATGTTATTGGACAGTTATTATTATCTGTCTACACAGGGGGACTACCTAAAGAAGTTTAAAAAAAACAACTTATTTTTCAAGTTCCTCTGACTTGGAATAAATCCTCCATAACACATAAAAACTGCACTTATGGAATTAGTCTCTGTTAATGTCTTGGTAACAGAAAAGAAAAAGACTAATTTGAAAACTACAGCTGCATCATGTTGATATGAAAATATATTCTAAAAGCATTTCACACACTGACTCTTTCATGTCCTTTTCAAGAAAAAGCAGAGAAATAAAAGAAATAAAGGAGATAAGTTCATAAACCAAATGAAACACTGCTGCACATCTTCTTTAACTAACCTGAAATAAACAGAGAATCTTATTGCAGATCCTGTAAAAGTAAGTTGGATGTGATGATGTGACCTTCAAACAGGTAAGATGGGAGATCTGCAACTATGTAATACTTCATTACAGTACTTAAGTACACTTTTTAGGTATCTATACTTTACTCCATTACTTATTTTCCTCCTACTTCTGACTTCTACTCATTACATTTTCACACCAGTATCTGTTCTTTCTATTCCTTACATTTTTAAATCAAATGTTACTCGTTACTCTTGGTTTAATGTTTCTAAATCTTTATTTCCCGTCATGTGCTCCATCCAATGCAGATCATTGGCTCCGCCCACATCTAGTGAAAACTAGTGTGATTGGATGAGTCATAGAAGGCAAACACTCATTGGTTAGCTAAAGGAAATCATCAGAAGCTAGCAGGTGTTCTTCAAACTGCTAACGTGAATTGTCTATGCCATGCTACAATGTGGGATTCAGAAAAAGATGTTGAAATGTCTGAAAGGTCGGACACAGGCGAGAGCGTATCGGGAGACGGAGACCAACAAGACCTCCCTCATCCATGGCCCTATCTCAGAGAATTTATAGAAATAGTCAAAAATTGAGCTTTCAGTTCATATAGCGGCATCTGGATGTTTTTTTTAAAGGTTACTTTATACTTTTATACTTTAAGTAGTTTCTGGAGCTCATACTTTTTCACTTTTACTTGAGTAAAGAGGTCAAGTTGATACTTCAACTTTTACCAGAGTGTTTTTAAACTGCAGTATCTATACTTTTAGTGAAGTAACAGATGTGTGAACTTTAGACACCACTGGATATAACAAATTCTGCTCCAGAATAATGAAAAATCTTTAAATTGTCATTTTATTGAACCCTTCTTCCTCTCGGAGTGTTTAGAACTACTTTCCTTGAACCACATCTCTTCATTTCTGCAAAGCACCAGAATCAAAAGCAGAAAGTTACAGGTTGTTAAAGTACAGATATTTGTTTGTTTTTCACTTAAACTTTCTCAGCATTAGGTGCACAAACAAGCTCCAACCAGTGACAGAGAAGGTTGCAACAGAAACAGATCACATCAAAGTGCATCAAAAGGTCCTGCAGCATGTTTAGAACAGCAGGAGCGTCATGAGCTTCTGAGAATCTGAGGCGCATCAGAAGCAGCAGCTGCTGGAGTTGGAAAAATGTAACTTTAGCTGCTGGACGCGCCTCATCAACCAATGAGAGAAGCTGATCTGGGAGCTGGCAGGGAGTCAGACGCAGCACTGCTGATGCAGAGCGCTATGATCACTCCTCTGAAACAGTTTATTAACGCCTAAATTAACTTCAAATGTAGAAACCTGCCGGCAGAATATGTTGGCTTTTATTATCCTGCTGCCTGCAGTTTGTAGCACAGACCTGAAAAACGCTAACATCTACTTCCAGCCGCCACCAACAGGAGGGGAAAACCCCCAAGAGGCGAGCGGGCCTGAGGCAGCTGCTGCTGGGGATTCCCAGTGACAGCGCAGCGCCGTATGTGGGGGTCTGAGCGGCTCCCACAGAGAAATAATCTTTGAAGGCAGGATGGTAATCTGGATGAACTGACTGCACAGACCATGTTTTCAGGAGGACTTTCTCACTTCAACATAGATTCTAACTACTTTCTACCCGCTGATCACAGCTAATATAGCAAAGCTGCTCTCTGGCATCGAACACAGGAGCAGCAGAAGCATCAGACGCTCTAATCTAATGTGGACGAGCATCAGAAATGAAGCAGCATTTTTGCGTCCGCTGTAAACGATCGAGCCAAAGACCTCCAACACTATCCAACACTATCTGTCAGTGTGAAAACCCTATCTTCTTAGCATTTGTTTATTTCCTTTATATTTTTTTATTCTATTTCATTTTATATGTAGGTTTCATTGCAAATATAATCTCAATCTCATGGGATCTTTATTTGGTCCAATGAAGGAAATAAACATCAATTCTATTCAGTTTATTTCTATAGCTCCAATTCACATCATGTCATCTCAGGTCACTTTCCAGTTCACCAGATCATCCAGTCAGATTGATTCAAAGTTTTCTATCTAAGGAAAACCAGTTGATTGGTTTTAATCATATTCAATTAATTTAATTAATCATATTTAGCTGAAAATCCATCATTAAAAGCTGATTCTTTGCAGGTCGTCCACAGCAATAGCTGAGGAAATGAAGCAGAGCAGTGGAACCTAAACTGTTTCAGTGGAGACGGCCGTAGGGTTGTCCTTATCAGCGCCGTTGATCTCCTGATTCTTCAGCGTTTTACAGCAACACAACAAGGCCAAAAGCTTGTCTACTACACTTTTTCTCAGCAAAACAAACATCGCCGCGTCTGCAAGAGGACTGAGAACAGCACAGATCAAAACCATCTTCTTGAAAACAGGGCTTCTTCGAGGCAACAGTAGAGAGATTATGATGGGCAGGAAAAGCACAGCATATATGAGCAACACCATGACCAGGATCGCAATGATTCGACGTTTCTCATCAGCAGGGACGCTTCGAGCTTCCGACAACGCTTTGACCGTCCCAGCTAGGAAAAAGATGAACAGGGGAAATGGAAGGAGAAGAAACACAGCCAAGGTGGTTTTATTTGTCTGTTGATCTCCAGATGAAAAGGAGGCCAGGGTGAAAACTAGAGAGAACATCCAGACCATCACAGACACCATCACAGAGGTCTTTATGTTCTGCCTGAATCTGTACCACAGCGGTTTGGCAACAGCCAGGTACCTAAAATACAAGACATATGTGGTCAGACCATAATGATGCTTCACTGTGAAACACACTAATACTAATAGTTACCTTTCAATGGAAACACACACCATGAATGCAACACTGGCTGTGAAGCCAAAATCGAAGACAACAGTAACTGCATGAAAATGAAGCATCAAGGGAATGGTGCTGCAGTACTGGATGAGATGAGAAATCAGAAGGTTGACGATAGACACCGGAGCAACTTGGTCGCTTTTCACCTGCAGGGAAAGCAGAATAAAAAGGTGGTGCATTCTTCCCAACGTCTTAGAAAGATTAAATAACTCTTTTTGAAAAACAGAATAGAAATATTTCATTTCTTTCTCCACCCACTGAGCAAAATAGGTTGAAGAGACGACATGATTTACTTCCAAACAACGTCTACATTTGGTAGGAAAGTTAAAGGGGAAAAGCCATTTTTAGATTGTTGAAAAGTCTTTTCAGCGTCTATTATTGGACTGAAGTTGGACAAAATCAGACCGATCAAACAGTCCGGTTTTAACAGCCCCCAGACTATGACAGACAGACAGACGCCTAAAAGCCGACGTCTGGATTACGTCTGGTGTTTGGGTTAAAGAACCAGATTTACAATCAGCCCCATGAAAAGCAAACGCTTCTATAAACGCTAAACAATAAACACTGAGCCTGGTTCTGCTGGAGGTTTCTTCCTGTTCAAAGGGAGTTTTTCCTCTCCACTGTCGCTACAAGCATGCTTAGTGTGAGGGATTGCTGAAGAGTCAATGAGTCAATGCAATCAGCTGATTTTCCTTAGATAGAAAACTTTGAATCAATCTGACTGGATGATCTGGTGAACTGGAAAGTGACCTGAGATGACATGATGTGAATTGGAGCTATAAAAATAAACTGAATAGAATAGAATTAAATAGTTACAAAAGTCGACATTAATTTTACCTCTATTTGATATTAGTTAGTTCAATCTCTAACGTTCTGCTCTCTCTGCTTTTTCTCATAGTAGCTTCATCTGGTCTGTTCCTGTTTGGCTGTGACTCCATCCTGGAGAGAAATATCAGCTGTGCTGCTGCCATCAACACCTTTATTTCTAGATGTTGGAGCTTGGCCTGTTTTCCAGTGTAGTCCTGTTTCTCTGACTGTGACTAACTGGATGTGCTCTCTTCATCCTCTGACATGGGAGCTGGCTCGGAGCTCGTCTGCCTGGCTGTGTGTTTCCTGGACGGGGCCGCCTGTGGAGCTGGTTGACAGTTGCCTTTTGTATCTATGCTTCTTTTTCTATGTCTGCAGATGGACTGAATGGTTAGTGCTTCATCAGTCCAGGTTTGAGCAGGTTAACATTTTTGTTGCTGCTGCTTTCATCAATGCTGTCAGTTCTTCCAGAGGTCACCATCCCCTCATTAAGCTCCATCATCTACTGATCTGTTTCTGAGATATGAGGTATTCTACTTTTAGACGATCGCGTCCAAAGAAGTTCACCTGCTGCAGCTGCTGTGCTTAAGCTCTGTTTTTAGCTCCATGTGGTTTATGTTCCGGGACATTGCTGATACCAGATTAGAAAATAGACTCAGTCAAGTCATCAGAAACTGAAAACACAGGAAATTAGGTAAACTAGGTCATCTATATCTGTCTACTGAAGAACTCACACGTCATTATGAATTCACACATTGACCAATTACTGTTGAGGAGATCAGTGGCCTGTACTGCTGTTGCCCATGTTTTTATGTTCTAAAAACCAAAGAACGAGCTTTAGAGCTCCTGCTGGGATGCTGCTGTCACCTCACTCTTGTTACGAATGTTGGGTAAGAAATAAGACTGAAGCAGAGCAAGGCATAGTAGAGCTTAATCTTAATCTCAGGGTTAGGGTGTAGCTCTGTACCTGTGACAGTGGAATGACTGGAGGTTTCTTCCTGTTCAAAGGGAGTTTTTCCTCTCCACTGTCGCTACTAGCATGCTTAGTGTGAGGGATTGCTGAAGAGTCAATGAGTCGATGCAATCAGCTGGTTTTCCTTAGATAAAAATAATTTGAAAAATATTAAGTGTTAGCTTTAGAAATAAATTGAAAGTTTTCTGATTGGGTTTTTTCTCTGTGTGTCTCTGCAGGTTGAATTTAACTTGTTTGACTTCAGGCACAAAAACAACTCATGATGAAATCACGGACGGTCAGCGTTGGGAAAGTTCTCTTTCTACGTGAACTAGTTCAAAGTTCAGTTCACACATTTTAAAATGAACTAGTTCAGTTCATAATTCAAATTTTTGAACTAAGTTCACAGTTCCAAAAAATGAACTAGTTCATAGTTCTTTTATTTTTTCATATATTACTCAATTCCACCATAGCCTACTGTAGAACCACAGACAGCAATTATTTTATCAGTTGTAACTCTGAAACTGTGCGTCAGATTTCATCTTCATATCCAGTTTTGAATCCTTATCCAACCAGGGTTTACACAGTGGCACGGGAAGGGGGGTGCTGCGGGGGCTGCAGCCTCCCTCGTCATAGCATCAGCCCCCCATGGTGGGGGGCTGTGGAGTAACATAATATTGTACTTAAAAACATGAAATTATTTATGTATTTATTTTTTAAAAGACTGTGTTTGATATGGGATTAAAATGATGGGCTGTGTATAAGATATAAACTAATGATTCATTATTTTAATATTTCATAAAAAACTAGGCTACTCCCCCGGAAGCTTCCGCCACCTCACATTCGTTTAGGCATGGCTAGCAATAGGCAGCAGAAACGTATTTCTGACTATTTCGAGGTGAGAAATGGTTTTAATTCCCCTATACGCTAGAATAAGGCTGCATATCACTAATTATTAGGTCTGTATTAAGCTATTTAGTGATAAAATATGAAATTAGTTAATTTTTTGTGTGTTTTTTGTTTCAGATATGAAATCATTCCCCATATCCATAGTCGAATGGACTTTCAAGACGTTCAATGCTCAGTTTAGGTTATATTTAGGTCATGTTTCATTCAAGTGTTCCTGATCCTGTTGATTGGGAGCTGTTGTTTGTTTTGAATGATTAAAAGAGAAGAAATAAAGTTTAAAATGTTCATGCTTTGTTCTGATGCATTTTAAATGGCAGTTTGTGGCGATAAATGTAGGCCTACAATATTATGTTAAAAACGTCAGCCACAGCCCTCAACATAATGACGTCACGTGTTTTCCAACCCAGCCATCAGCCCCCCTCGCTTGAAACAGCTTCCAGCGCGCCTGGGTTTACATTAGCATTGAGGGGATAGCATTTCCCCATTGTTGCTTTAACGCTTTGTTGCTGTCCATTCACTGAATGGTCTTTTTTAAGAGGAATTATTAAAAGAAAAACAGGAAAGTAGTCTTTAAGGTACAAATGTTTTTTTAATTTTAATAATTTTTTCCATTTGAAATTCCATTTCAGTACATACTAAAAAGGAATCCTGGAAAATTATACCAGGCAGGTTTAACAAACAAGTTACATGGATAGTAAAACCCTTAAGAACATTTTACTGACACAAACTGAGGGACCAGGCTGAGGTAGGAATTTAAGGTTACTGAAGTGCAGATTTTTTTACTGAAAGCCGGCGGGCAAACTTGTTGCCATCATCCTCACCGACCACCTGGTCATAAACCTGTTTTAAGTGATCATACTGCTGCTTTGTCGCCTCCACGGTCGCCTCCACGCTGCATTTTGTTTTGATGACGCACGCGGCTGTAGGCTACGACGCTGGTAGCTGCTGTTGCCAGATTAGGTGTTTTTCCCACTACATATTAAGGCTTGTTTACGGTGTGATTTAGCTGGGGTTTCGCCTGGAGGGCTCTATAGAAATCTGGCAACCTATTGAACGGAGTTGAACTGAGAGAGCGTGCCGTTCACAGACACCAGAATGAACGAGTTCACAATAACGTTCACCAGGCAGTAATGCAGTACGTTGAGTTCACGTTCGCCCAAAATATGAACGAGTTCATGAACTTTCGTTCAATGAACGCGTTCAGGACCAACACTGCGGACGGGACCCCTGCTTCACTCAGCTAGCACACTGCTGTAAGTTCCTTCCTGTTACAGTGGAGTTTTTTTCCTCTGCTCTCTAACACGATCGCTGTGAGGGATTGTGATAGAGTCAACAGCACAATGCAACCGAACGTTCGCTGTCTCTACCCGCTCTTTGAATTGTCTCTTTCAAGGGAATTGCTGTTTTTTTTTTTTATAAATTAAATTCAATGATGTACTCACCTTTGATGAAACGACAAATATGGCCACCAGATTCAAAGAAAGTCCAGTGCCGATGATTATCCAAACCACTATATTGCTGGTTTCATCAGTGTCACTGTCACCATCGTTGGAGGATGTGTTATAGTAGCTGAAGCTGGAATCCTCCATTCTTCAATGTCCAATCTGCAACACCAAAACCAAGAGACATGAAATGTCTCCTAACTTGTTGTTGTTGTTTAGCCCTTTTCAGAGGGAAATATTAAAAAAAGGTTCTTAGTTATTCAATTCAATTCAATTCAATTCAGTTTATTTATATAGCGCCAAATTCACAACACATGTCATCTCAAGGCACTTTACAGTTCAACCAGATCATACAGTCAAATTGATACAAAGTTTTCTATCTAAGGAAAACCAGTTGATTGCATCGACTCATTGACTCAAATACAATCCCCCACACTAAGCATGCTTGTAGCGACAGTGGAGAGGAAAAACTCCCTTTTAACAGGAAGAAACCTCCAGCAGAACCAGGCTCAGTGTGAGCGGCCATCTGCCGAGGCCGACTGGGGTTCAAGGAGACAGAAGCAGAGATACAAAAAGCAGCTGTAGAAGGTGACCCCGTCCAGGAAACACACAGCCAGGCAGACGAGCTCCAAGGCAGCTCCCATGCCAGAGGACGAAGAGAGCACATCCAGTTAGTCACGGTCAGAGAAACAGGACCACACTGGAAAACAGGCCGATCTCCAACATCTATTAACAAGGGTGTTGATAGAAGCAGCACAGCTGATGTTTTTTTCCAGGATGACGTCACAGCCAAACAGGAACAGACGAGGCAAAGCTACTCTGAGGAAAAGCAGAGAGAGCAGAAGGTTAGAGATTGAACTAACAGATTCTGCAGAATAGGAGAACAGAGAGAGAATGAAGCAGAATGATGAAATGGGGGTCCCTATGTCCTCCAGCAGTCTAAGCCTATAGCAGCAGAACTATAGATATAGATCAGGATAACCTGAGCCACCCTAACTAGAAGCTTTATCAAAAAGGAAAGTTTTAAGCCTAGCCTTAAAAGTAGACAGGGTGTCTGCCTCACGGACTAAAACTGGTAGTTGGTTCCACAGGAGAGGAGCCTGATAACTAAAAGATCTGCCTCCCATTCTACTTTTAGAAATTCTAGGAACCACTAGTAAACCTGCAGATTGAGAGCGAAGTGCTCTGTTAGGAACATAAGGAACAATCAGATCTCTGATATCAGATGGAGCTTGGCCATTTAAGGCTTTATATGTGAGAAGGAGGATTTTAAATTCTATTCTGGATTTAACAGGAAGCCAATGAAGAGAAGCCAGGATAGGAGAGATATGATCTCTCTTTTTCATTTTCATCAGAACTCTGGCTGCAGCATTTTGGATCAGCTGAAGGCTTTTAACTACAGTTTGTGGACTTCCTGATAGTAAAGAATTACAATAGTCCAGCCTTGAAGTAACAAATGCATGGACTAGTTTCTCAGCATCACCCCTGGACAGGAGATTGCTCATTTTTGCAATATTCCTCAGATGAAAGAAGGAAATTCTAGAAACCTCTTTGATCTGGGATTTAAATGACAGGTCCTGATCAAAAATAACACCAAGATTTTTTACTTTATTATCTGAAATCAGTTTAATCCCATCCAAATGAAGTGACTGGCTAATCAGTTTCTTTTTCAGAGACTCTGGTCCAAAGACTATAACTTCTGTTTTGTCTGCATTCAGAAGCAGAAAATTAAGACTATTATTAACCCTGATTTTCAAAAAAGAGTAAAAATTTCAAGCATTTGAAGTATTGAAAATAATTTCCAACTAAGTTTCTTGACAGGAAGCAAAATTGTAGCAATAAATTAAACGTATTAAATATATTTTCTTGCAAGCTTCTTTTAAATTCAAAGCAAAAGTTCATATTTTTACCGTTTAGGTTAACAGTTCTTGAGTCAATTCCTGTTCAGCATTTTTCTGCATGCATCTCTGCAGTGTGTGTATACTATATATACATGCTATTTGGTATTTGACCAATGGCGTCTGACCTACGCGTTAACAACGTGAGGGCAGAGCTAATGTTATCTTTATAGAAGTGAAAACTGACATCATTACAAAGTATTTCAGTTCTTGAAACACAATTCGTTTCTGTCTGTTTAATGGAAAAAGTTGCTTTTCAAAGGAAGAGACTGAAGTGTTTCAAACTGCATTCACCCTCTGATGGTGGGAAGCTACTTTGAAGCCGTCTCTGCAGCCAATTCAGTTTTTTATTTAAAATTTACAAATATATTTTAAAATGATTTTAGTTGTTTTTCCAGTATCTTCATTCAGGCTTGGCCTTCTTTTTGTAATGTTTGGCTGTGACTCCATCCTGGAGAGAAATATCAGCTGTGCTGCTGCCATCAACACCTTTGTTTCTAGATGTTGGATCTTGGCCTGTTTTCCAGTGTAGTCCTGTTTCTCTGACTGTGACTAACTGGATGTGCTCTCTTCATCCTCTGACATGGGAGCTGGCTCGGAGCTCGTCTGCCTGGCTGTGTGTTTCCTGGACGGGGCCGCCTGTGGAGCTGGTTGACAGTTGCCTTTTGTATCTATGCTTCTTTTTCTATGTCTGCTCCTGTCTCCTTGAACCCCAGTGGGCCTCAGCAGATGGCCGCTCACACTGAGCCTGGTTCTGCTGGAGGTTTTTTCCTGTTCAAAGGGAGTTTTTCCTCTCCACTGTCGCTACAAGCATGCTTAGTGTGAGGGATTGCTGAAGAGTCAATGAGTCGATGCAATCAGCTGGTTTTCCTTAGATAGAAAACTTTGAATCAATCTGACTGGATGATCTGGTGAACTGGAAAGTGACCTGAGATGAAATGTGTTGTGAATTGGAGCTATAGAAATAGAGTGAACTGTACTGAATTTGTCAGGATTTGGTTGTGGTTTGAGGACCCAAATGCAGAGGCATGGAGGCAGAGGTGGTTTTCTTGTTGATTTAATGAAAGGTAAACAAAAAACTGAGGCAGGAATCCAACAGAAAAAAGTTAGACGAACCAGAAACCATCAGGGGAAATAAATCATGACGAGGTAGACACAGAGAGACGGAGTTGGAGGAAGTTAGACGAGGAACCAGCACTGAGGAACTGCATAAGAAGAGTATTTAAGGGAGACTGAAACAAAGCGAGAACTAACGAGGAGATTGGGAGCAGGTGTGAACAGAGCAGAACAGGAAAGGAGCTTAAAGAAACGGAGAACACAAGAGGGCAGCAGAGGGCAACAAATAACAACCTGAAAACTGAAAAATAAACAGAGAACACAACAAAATAAGAATTAAACCACTAAAACTAGAAAACATGGAGCAAAGTAAAACTGAAGACTCAAAAGAAAACATAACAGAACCAGAACTGTGACAGAATAGGTGAAACAGTTAATATGTTTCTCTTAAAATCTTCAGAAATAGGTAATTAGAATTTATTAAAGTAGTAGTAGAACTGTAGTTGCCAACTGAGCGACTATATTTAGAGACTTTTCAGACCCTTCTAGACTTTTTTTTTTCCTTAAAAAGTTACTAGTGACAAATCAGGGCCTTTTTCTCCGTGTTGTTAAAAGCTTTGTTGAAAAACAGTCATCCTCAGAAGGGAGGGAACAAGCCCCTTCCTCCTCAGAAGCACTCACCCCTTGCTCACACTGGCTCCGGTGCGGTTACCGAGCCGACGGAGACCGCAACTCCCGCACACCCCCTCTCACACCGCCCTTTTGACTACGGTGCGGTGCGGCTCTGCGGCTCCGGCAACAGGTCCGGAGATTTAACTCGCGAGAACAGAAGTTCACTTGAGTTCACGTAACTTCACGCGATAACACTGCCCAAATAAGGATATTTGCGAGAGCTTGTTGCGGAGGGCTCCGGCACCCCGCAAGGATAGCTTTCTTGCTGAATTTTCTGCAGCGCCGGAGTGTCTCGGTAACCGCAGCCGGACAGCTCAGCAGCCGGTGAGAGAGGTTTACGTCTTTTTAATGACTTGAAATCACTGCGGCGCCGCACCCACCGCACCGCAAAGGTAAGACCGGAGTCGGTGTGAGCCTGGGGTGACAAGGAGTCAAATGCAGCTCTGCAGCCAAAGGCCTGCAGGCAGAGATAGAGATAGCTTTAAAGCTTCCACTAACTCCACTTAAATTAAAAGTAAGGTGTAAATATATCATATAAACCCTGTGCAAATCAGCTACCAGTGAAGATTGTCTCAAGCCACCTGCATGAGCATTCCAGCATTTCTCATTCTGATTGCCTGTCTGTTGCAGATTCTGTCCTTGGACCTCCAACCAGCCTGACCTAGTGTTGTCTTCCTGTTTACCTGACCCTGCCTGCCTGTAAGGACCAGATTCTCCCTAATCTGTGTGAAATCTCTGAGCTTGTTATCTGTAGCAAGTAGAGGAGGACTGGGGCCATGTATTGCCAGATGCCGCGGAAGAACCTCCTCCCCTAGATAGAGCATTGCAGATGGGTGGAGGCTGGGTCTTCCAGCATCACAATGAGCCGAAGCACACAGCCAGGATAACCAAGGAGCGGCTCTGGAAGAAGCAGTTCTAGGTTCTGGTGTGGCCTAGCCAGTCTCCGGTCTTAAACCCAATAGAGAAACTTTGGAGCGAGCTCGAAATCTGTTTTTATCAGCAAAAGCCCAGAAACCCGACTGATCTAGAGAAGATCTGTGTGGAGGAGTAGGAGAAAGTCCCTCCTGCAGTGCAAACCTGGTAAAAACTACAGGAATCGTTTCAACTCTGAAACAAAGGCTACTGGACCAAATATTAACACTGGTTCTCTCAGGTGTTCAAATACTTATTTGCAGCCGAATCATAGAAATAAACAATGGAAATGCACCTACGATATCAATTTAAGACCCCTCCATGATTTCTAAGTAGGAGAACTTGCAGAATAGCGTTCAAATACTTATTTTCCTCACTGTATTTAGTCTGAGAGAGAAATTCTTGAGGCTTTATGCAAATTCTTATAAGTGTGATTAAAGAGCCCCAGGTGTAAATAAAACACTTCTTATTCCTGACTGATGTCCTTTGGTGGTGCAGTGACCTTCTCTCAGCTCGAGCTGTGGTTACCACAGATATGGCGTTCACCTGATGCTCCTGTTTTTCAGGCAGCTGAGGAGGGCGGAGGTTCATGGCAAAGTGGCAGCTGGCAGGCCCATAATTAAT